CCATTGTGGTCTTTGGGGAAATGGTGGTATTTGTGGTCTTTGGGGACTTCCTTGCAAAAAGAGGTGCCAGCTTACTACAACATCCTAATGCAACCATTCCTTATTGGAGGATAAAACTGTTTTTAAAACATTTATTTGGATCTTGTTTCTTATGGGATCTTCAGATTTACATTGCCATAAAAAATTGGAGGAGGGCAAGCTCTTCCCTTATTTCCGATAAACCAAGCCACAAAGTAGAGGCAGCCTTTGTCCTGTCTACGGAACACGATTGCATTTCTGCTCATCTGCGCCGCGTAGGTATTTTAATTCATCCTATTTGCAAATCCAAGTGCAAATAAAGGTTTTACTGAGGGGCACTAGGTTCTACTTTTAACTGTCTTTCGGAAAGCTCTGAACGATTCATTAATGCTAATTCCTCGGAGGTACTATAGCTGAAATATTCCCCTCACTGAAGAGACATCCTGAGGTAATTAAATCCTTATTTATAAGAATGGCATGCGACATGGTCTTCAGCGGAAAGGATTTGAGTTTTAATCAGATTTAGTTGGGGAAGGCAGGGAAATTCTAATCAACATTTCACTGTCAAGAGGGAAGATTATTCACGGATTGACTATCGGTAATGCATGCAAATATTTCGATGTATTGGAAGAATTTATAAGACAAGAATAAAACATTTAACCCGAACATCATATTTGCTTTACTGTCTATTAAAACATCGATATATATTCTTTGGAATGTCGTAACCTTATTAATATTTCAAATTTTTGTATATATTTATAAAGACATAATTATGCAAAAAAAAAACCTTTGAATACATTTATCGAAAACGAAACTTGTATGACGCCTTTAAACTTAGAAGTTTACTAAGGGTAGAATTGATTACTATGAATTAATATATTTATGACTGTTGCTTTACACGTTTTTACAAGCATTTTTGAAACCTGAATTAACGCGAAATGGAAATATGCATTCACAGTTTTAACACTGAAATAAAAATGTATTTTCTAAAAACATGAAACAATTGAGTATTCACTTAAATATATTATTTTATATTTTTTATTTTCTATTTTTTTTAAATATTTCTGTAATTATATACGTATATTGGAAATTTTGGCATATTTATAGAAAAAAAAAAAAAAAACTAGATTCAAAAATTATAATAAAATCAAATTTGTCTGAATTAATACATATTTTTGTCTTTTATTTTTCATGAAAAGTGTTAAAATTTTTAAAACCGAAGATTATTCTTTTACCGTTATATATTTTCTCTTTGAAAGCCATATTAAATTATCCTCCAACAATGCCATATATTACTAACTAGGTAATTAAGGTTGATAAATATTTCGTATAAAATTCCACAAAATATATGCAATTGTGTATTAATCTATGAATAACATAATACTCATTAAAATGATAAATATATTTATCAGATCAGGAAGAAAATTCCTCTTTAAATGCGCTTTTATTCATAATATGCTTTTTTTTCACTTAGCTTAACTTTGAGTCTACTGGCAAAGAAATGTTCGAAACAAGAAATGTTTTTTTACGGGGTATGGTTGGCAACTCTACGTGCTACGCTCTACAGTCATATTAGACCGGGATCTGCGGACTAAAGTGTATACAGAACAACTATAAATATACATAGTCTTTAACCCTTTGGCAATGAGGGCCAGAGCGCTAGCCACTTGGCCATCAGGCCTATAAAATATGGGGAACTTATTAAATGAAATATTACTGGAAATGTATCTGTAAATTTTTTGTAGTGTATAACTGTAGCACATCATATCAGATCATTTTACAGAAAAAAAGTCTTTTCTTGTTTTCCTTCATCAAAATTATATGACTGAAAAATTATTTCCTGTTTTTTAAAGATTTACTCAAACTAGGTGCTTTGCAAACATATTTCTGATATATTCCAGCCACAGCTGAAAATGTCACAGTGAGCAAACTAATTAAATTAATTCATTTTACAAATAAAATTACACATTTTTATTAATCTACGAACTCCAATTATCCATAAAATGAAAATGCTGAATACCACAATAGCTTACGATCTCAATAATTGATAAAGAATTAATCCTTGCGTAGAAGTTCTAATTAAGAACTTCAAGGCATTAAATACAACTTTTAAAATAAGAATTCAATGTCTTTGTCATGAATTCATGATGAAAGATATTTATTTTAATAAATACAACAGAATCTTTTCATGTGTTATGTTTTCATTTTTCTAAATTCTGCAATAAAGAGAAACTTCTGAGTCCTTTCATAGGAACAGAGGGAGACAAACTAATTTGTTGTAGTCACTGATTTAATACAAAATATTAAAATCGCTTAAATTCTCTTAAAAGGTCTACGATGTAAAAATTCAAATAACGTTTTTATTCAGTACCGTAACATTCTGAATGCAATTTTAACAACGCTGATGTTTCTATAAAACGCATGCCAGATTGCTCAGGGAAAAGGCCTATAAAAATAAATCACAAATGTTTTCCTGTTAAATAAGCTGAAACTTTTTGTATCGCTAAATTATACAGAATAGAAAAGAATTCCATATCTAGATTTTAAAATAGCTACAATAAAATAAGTTCATTTGTTTGGGCAATGAACTTGTTTATTATTGTTTTCTTTTGTTTATTTCTTTTGTTTTTTATTTTTATTTTAAAATAATGTAGCTTCTTTTTATGTATTTACAATCCGGGGAATTAAAAAAAAAGATATGAAAGGCCTTATATTTATTGCAGTACGCCAAAAATATAAGCATTCAGTTTACATATTATGCTAAACTAGTAATTCTTGTTATTTCATATAAAAAATGTATAATGATGTTTTTAAATAATTCACTTGCGAGTTAAAAAAAAAATTGGAATACAAACATAAGAAACTGCAAATATTTGGGCTTAAATTTAATTTTATTTTCTGTAAGAAAAAAATGACATTTAAAAATGTGTTTTAATTTTCAACCAAAAATTTTTTTTCCATATAGTTAAAAAGGAAAAATGTTTTTTACTATTATAATTTTGTAGTGAAAAATCCTTCAATATATTCATTTACGAATTTATTATTGACCTAGAAATGTAAATATATTAACACCGAAAATAAATATATACATAAATTATAAATATAAAAATCAACTTGTTTAAAAACCAATAATTTATTAATGTATTGCCTGCAGATTATGGCAGTAGATTTTTATGTAAGAAAGTGTCTGCAGATTATTATGTAAGAAATGAATTGTGGAATATTGCAATTTCTCATTACCAAAAACTTGACTTGGTGATATTCAAGATCAAATACGATATCACAAAAATATTCTCTTTATTTGGAAGTCCTTTACATTTATTTAAACAAAGATACTGGAAAATATGTTTCAAAATTATAAAAACTAATCCTTTGATATTCATTGAAATTCTATTAAATATAAAATAGCCTGCTTTTCACGAAACACTTTTAAAGGAGGAGAAAATTTATATGCGCATATTTTGGTTCATTAAAAGTACTTGTAAAAGATTTGTTTCAAGTTTTGATAAGAAATAAAACAATGTAAAAAGTTTAAAGAAAGTTGTATAACTATGTGTCTAGTTTATTAAGAGAAAGGCACTACTAAAGATTCTGTCCTAGTTCAAAGATTTCAAATTGGAACTACAAAGTTTTGAATTGACTTTCATATAAAAATAAGTTAGAATACATTCTTTACTTACAAATCTATTTATATTTTACATGCCTTTTAACCAAGAGCTCATTATTTTTAGTGGTATTTTCTGTAAAAAATACATTAATTAACTTAACAACGTTTTGGAAAATGGTTAAAAAAGAATACATTGTTATGAAGTTAATCAACTATAAAGAAGTTTCTTATTACTCTTAAAACACATAAGTTTTTGAAAATATTTTAAATTAGTCTTAAGAATATATTTATTTCCATCGTGTTGTTTTGTAGAAAGGGTTTTTGTTTCTAAATTTATTTGTCAAATTTTAAAAAAAATTTTACAGGTGAGCAAACATATAGCCTAAAAATTATATTAAAATAACAATAAGATGTTAAGGAAGAATATTTGTTCAGTTTTTAATTTAAAAGTTAAGTTTTAATGTATTTAGTTTACGTCTATGTTCAGTTTCTAATTTAAAAGTTAAGTTTTAAGGTGTCTAATTTACGTTTATATTCAGTTCTTAATTTAAAAATGTAATGTTAAGTTTTAATGCGTTTAGTTTACGTTTGTGTTCAGTTCTTAATTTGAAAGTTACATTGTGTTAAAGTTTTTAATTTAAATGTTAGCTTTATTATTAGAGTTAAGTTATTATTTACAAAATAATATAGACCCTAGATGTCTCGGTTCATTAACATGAACATTCGAATGAATGGCAGAACTGACTGATATTTTCAACATTCTTATGAATATCACTTTCTTGAAACTGAAATCTACTTTCTGTTCCTCTGTAGTAGTATTAAGATTTAATTTAAAATTGAAAGAATGTTACAATATTAGAATGTTTCTTTATTTAATTACCTAGCTGTCAAGGAAACAAAATAAAAATTTTTATAATATAGAATACATGTCAAAAATGTTGCGATTAAATGTTGCGGTCGCAAAGAAATACATTTGAAAAGTGAAATTAAATGCAGTTCAAATTAAATGTAACATACATTTTAATAAATTCTGGTCAATTCCCATATTCCATGTCAAAAATATTATTATTATTATTATTTCTTTCCTCTATAACTTGGATAAATATTGTTTGAATACCCTGATTTACGGAATTTCTACAGTATTAAAAAATGAAATGAACATGGATTTTAAAGAAATTCATAATTAAAAATAGATTCAATTGTTTGATCGAATCTAGAAATGCACTGGATAAATTAGTTATCTGATATATCCGAACCAATGTGTTTTATGAAAAAAAAAAATCATTTAATGTAGCACTTTTAATATAATCCTCATTTAGTTGTCTGTACATATATGTGTATCCTCATTTATTGTCTATACATTTATGTGTGCCCAACGGCCGTACCATGCTGAATATACCGGTTCTCGTTAGATCACCGAAGTTAAGCATCATTGGAAATTGTCAGTACTTTTAAAAAATGGGTGGGTGACCACCTGGGAACACTGCGTGCCGTTGGCAAATTTGGGACCTGAATGGCCGAGTGTCTAGCGCTTTGGCGTTCGGTGCCACAGGTTTCGGGTTCGAACCCCGGCGGTGCCATGGATGTTTGTAGTGGTTCGGAATCCACTTTAAGCCGTAGGTCCCGGTCTTCTATGACTGTAAGAGCGTCACGGAGCAAAAGTCAGGCTTCTACCTACGGGTGCTCCATCACAACAGAAGCTGCTTCCTTCCCCTTCAATCATGAGTCCATATGGGCTCGTGGGCTTGGCCAGCCAAGTGGGATAAGAAACAACAACAACAACAAACATACATTTATGTGTATCCTCATTTAATTGTCTGTACATATATGTGTATCCTCATTTTATTGTCTTTTAATATAATCCTTATTTACTTTTTAGCACTATCATTTTAAAGTAGTTTATAAATCAGCAGGCAAAATATTTTAAAAATGATATAAGTTTAAAAATTAAAAAGGAATATTTACAAAAATCGAAATTATAGTAACTTGCGAAAAAAAAAAAAAAAAAAAATTAAGATTTTGATTCCATTTTCACTCTCAGGATTTAAATTTATAGAAATCGTTTAAAGATCGGGCTTCAGATTTGTTTTCTACGTTGTTACTGATAATTTTATTCAACTATAATTTGAGCTTAATCAGAGAGATCTAAAGGTCTATTTTAATGCTCAGATATTCATTCATTTATGTATTTACTAAATCTCGGAATCTAGGTAGAATGTTTTAAAAATCTATACTATAAAGATTTAAAAATATTTCATTCTACTGCTTAAGAAAAGATATTTTTAAAAGATTAGACATTAAAAAAGAAAATTTGTTAAAGTTAAAATATTACGTAGTGCTCCTAAAGAATTATTGTCTGAGAATTTTATTTAAATTTAGTAGACAAAAGAAAGACATAAAAGAAATTTATAAGAAATCTCATTGAAATTTATTCTCAGTATTTCGCTGAAACAGATATTTAGTATTACATTCAAGATTTTGTTTTGAAAGAAATATGAATAGTTAAAGAATATTTTATTTTTTATAGTCGAAGTATTCTGAATATCAGAATTAACCATTTATGAAAAATAAATTTTTCAAGGAATATTTTACGAGTTTAATAAGTTTATGAATTTAAAATTCATTTTTAAAACATAAAGAAATGAAACTAAAAGAAAACGTAACAGAATTTATTTAGTAACTAGAAATGCATAAAAAGTATTATTTAAATTATTATAATAACTTTCACATGGAATTAGAATTAGGATATTATAACAGCAAGGCAAATTTTGAATTTAAGAAATACTTTGTTCAAATGAAATTGGTTGTAATTGAATTCTTGCGATGGTTTTGTGCTGTTAAGTATTTCTCAGATCAGGATCAGGAATTTCAGACGGATCAGGAATGATGATCAGGATCAGGAATCTCAGACGGATCAGGACTGATGCACCAATTTTGATACATCCTCAAAAGTTGATGTATTTTATTTCAATAATGTACCAAAATGAATAGACTGAATTTTTTAGGCGAATTATATTAAGCCATAAGGTTTGATGAAAAGGTATTTAAATTTTGCAATTAAAACAGTTATTTTTATTATATATACTTTAAATATTTTACAATTTTTTAAATACAAACCAAATACGCATAGCAATTAGTATTTGATTTAGCTTCTAGAAACAGAAATAAAGTTCTAATCGTAAAAAGTTTATTTTTATTCAAAAGTATACTGTCAAACTGCAATACAGAAAATCTTTCACAAGTGTAATATATTTTGAATGCATTAAATCAGTATTATCATTAGTTATCTATTTATTTCTATTCTATAATATTTTTTATATAAATTTATATTTAGTTGTTTATTTTATACGAGGTGTATAAAATCCTTTTTAGTAGAGATTTGTTGCTGATATTTGATTGGATAATTTTCTTACGTACTGATAATAATAATAATATTAATAATAATAATAAATGGAATAAAATTATTAATATTATATAATATATAAAATTTTATAATATTTATAATTTGAATACTTAAAATTATTTTATATAATAATTAAAAAAATTAAATTATTATTAAATAACTAAATTAGTCATTAAATTATTTTAATAAATAATAAAAGTAATTAAAATATTGATATATGATTAAATTATTAATTAAATTTATTTTAATAAATAATAAAAATAATAATTTAAATTATTTTAAAATTATTGTATAAAATTATAAAATTATTTAATATTTTGGAATAAAAATAAATAATAATAATTTTCCAATTCACTAATTGAAACTTTGAGTTACCAAATCATTCAAATATGCCTTTATAAATAAGAAGGTAAATTCATACTTATAAATAAGAATTTCCTATGTTTTATAATAATGCACTTTTTATGCTAAAAGAAGTTGTCATTGTAAATGCAAATGCAAATGACATTTACTATAATTGCTTTTCTGCTCAATTAGTATGCATCGTACACAATAACAAAGAAATCACAAGGTAAATACTAATTAATTTTAACGTTTAATGTAAGATTCTAACAGCAATACCGAAATAATCTTGAAAAAATATCGCACAAGGAAAGCTCCCTATCACATGCTAACGTGCTACTAAAATTAAACTACTTGTAACTACTTAGAGAGTGCAATAAAAAAGAAATTTCTACGTCGAAACAAATACTTTACGTTCACGCGATCCTCACATTCACTGTAATTGCCCTATTATACTTAAACTTACAATAAATTCAGCATCCATTTATGTAAATTATATAAAAAGAACTTCCAGTTGGTTGTTGCTTTTACAATTTATCATGTTCCTTAAATTACCCTTTAAAGCACAACAGTATGTACTTGTAAGAATTTCAAGTTGAAAAGTGCTAATTAGTTCAAGTTGGAAGCTATTCGTTGGTTTTATCTCCACTGTTACTTGTATAAACTTTTCAAAAAGTATTTCATGAAAATACTATGAAAATGGTATGTTTGTGTAGTGATATAATATCTAAAGCTATGTCTGATTTTAAATGTTTGCAATTAGTATAACAATCGTGTAATTTAAAGAGTAAAATGACGTAATTAATGAATATAATGGAATAATTTTCATTTAAAAATTTAGCAATTGAAAAAAAAATATTCTTTTTAGTCATTTTTAAGATTATATTTTTTATTTTTTGGACCATTTATGAAATCATTTATTTGGATTAAACATTTAAAGAAACGTTATCTGCTTGAACTTAGGAAAAAAATTACTTCACTACAGTTACTTTTTAAATCTCTTGCAAAATGTTATTCTAATTTAGAATATTTTAATATTAATTATAGAAAATCATAGGAAATTTTTCATGAATTTAAAAACAATGTTTTAAAAGTTTATTTCACCTTATTTTATTTTATTTCGAATTAAATAGAATAATTTTTATCAGAAATAACATTTAATTAAATGAAAAGTTATGTATCTAGTGTAAGATTAAAATATTTTTACAAATTTTTCCTACTATTAATTAAATTTTGAAAAAGAAAAAAAAATAATAATTAATGTGGAATTTTTTTTATCTAGTTGATCCTTTAATATCGTGTCATCTAAAATTTATATTATTACAGATTAAAATTATTTTTATTGCAATTAAAATCACTCTTAAATGTCCTTTTTTCCCTTATGACACCGCTCTTTTTAAATCCTTAAAAATAGCCATAATGCTATCGGTGATTGGACTATTATAAATAAAATTATTTAAATTAAACTTATTTTCTTCACCAAAAACTTTTTTAATTCTTCAATATCGTTATGATAAGGAAAAAATCAAAATTATGAAAAATGAAAAAAATCAAAATTTAATATGAAAAAATTGAAAAAAATCAAAATTTAATGAATGAAAAAATTCAAAATTCAAAATTGAATTTATGAAAAAATGAAAAAAATCAAAATTTAATTTGTAAAAAAATGAAAAAAAAATCAAAATTTAATGTATTTCATTAACAGATTATGTATAAAAAGGGGAAAACAATAACTAAATGCATTTATATCGGTTTTATATTTCCTTTAACAATTTTTTTGCAGTTAATTTGAATTTTATATAGAAATCCTGTTTTCAATTTATACACAGACAAATATTGATTTTAATTTAATTTAAAAAGGTATTAATTAAAAAGTTTTTTTATTTTTACAGCTTCTTATTATAAAATTTTTTGACGTATCGGTAGCGATGCTACAATTTCAGTTAAAACTTTCACTTTTCACTTTTATTTTAGTAGGAAAAAAATTTCAAATTTTTTTTATATATATTTTAGAACTTTTTACTTTGAAGTTATTAGAATTTCAATGGTAAGTCACTTAATATATAAGCAGCTCTACTTAATATACACAAACTCGCCAGAAAATTTTTTTCTCGCCATAAAAATAATAGAAAAACTGAAAAAACGATATTGAGATTAATTTAAAGCTGTTAAATTTTTTTAGAAGGGCTCTTTGAAGCATAAATGTTTAAAAAGTGCCCGAGGGTTGGAAGAAAAAGTTGGGGTTGACATTTCCTTGAGAGAGTTGCAAATTGTTTTAAACTTAGAACGAGGGTTCTGTGACAGCGGAACGTGTTCTGTGAAGGGCTTACACCGAGCAGCGGCGACTTAGTTGCCTTCACAAGTCACGAGCCGCTTTCCGAGGAACTTTCAATTGGTTTACATTTAGATTCCCGCATTATTTCTTTTTTTTATATACCAAGTTTGAATTTACTCGAAGGAAAATTCTTTTCGCTGACATTTTCCTTTTTGTACTCTCAATACGTCACACAGAATTAAAAAACTTGTGAAATAATTTTTATTATTTCACAAGGTATTAATTTTCAAAATTTTCCTATTTTTATAATTTCTTATCATGACATTTTTTGATATATCGGTAGAAATGCTACAATTTAGAGATGCTACAATTTAAAAATGCTATAAAATGCTACAGTTAAAAGATAGAATTGCTTTTTATTTTAGTATAAAAAAATTCCAATATATTTCTATTTATTTCAAAGCTTTTTTATTTTG